AATAAAAATGTACATTTTATATAGGTAATTTATGATGCATATTTAGTTAATTTATTATGAATATTTAGGTAATTTATGATGCATATTTAGTTAATACGAAATACATACTTGTTATATTTAAATTGAATATATAATAATATTTATATAATTAATTTATTATGCATATTTACTTAATTCATGGTACATATTTAGTTCTTACGAAATGCATATTTAGTTCATGAACAGTGCATACCTATTTTATTTGAGATCCAATCATAACAATTTATTTATGTTATTAATCAATTTAAAATTAAAATTAATTATATAATAAAAATTATTTGTGTTATTAACTAAATATGCATCTGTTATGAACTAAATATGCATCATGAATGAACTAAATATGCAGCGAAAAAATATGCAATAAAATGTACATTTCATATAGTTAATTTATGATGCATATTTAGTTAATTTATTGTGAATATTTAGGTAATTTATGATGCATGTTTAGTTAATGCAAAATGCATACTTGTTATATTTAAATTAAATATATAACGATATTTCTATAGTTAATTTATGATGCATATTTAGTTTATTCATGATACATATTTAGTTCTTACGAAATGCATATTTAGTTCATGAACAGTGCATACCTATTTTATTTTGAGATCCAATCATAACAATTTATTTGTGTTATTAATTAATTTAAAATTAAAATTAATTATATAATAAAAAATCATTAATTATTATATTTAAGTTAACTGTATAAAATGTATATTTTATTGCATATTTAGTTCATTCTTAATGCATATTTAGTTAGTAAAATGTGCATATTTAGTACATAAATAGTGCATACATAGTTGATATTATTGTTGCATATTTAGTTCATAAGGATGACATATATAACTCATTTCTTATGCATATTTAGTTCATACTAAGTGCATAGTACCGTATGCATATTTACTTCATACAAAATGTAGAATAGGGGTCAACGGTCAACGACGGAAGTCAACGGTCAACGACGAAGGTCAACAATTTTTCGTCGGAAGTCAACGGTCAACGCCGAAGTCAATGGTCAATTGTCAAAATAATATTTAAATAACTAAAATAATAAAATAAAGCATTAAGTAATAAAAATAAAGAATTATTATTTAAATAAAGAGTTAAATCTTGGTCACACATCATGTACCAATCTAGTGGCTAAGAATGGGTATCACATTCACACTTTAAATATGTGTACTCATTGGATCCAATCCCTATATATATATATATATATATTATCTCTTAATGTTCTAGATTTGTTGTCGGTTACCTTATAGTTCAAATTTATCAACTAATTCTCTAAATTAAATTATAAATTTTAAATTTTATTGACCAATATTTGTTGAAAATCATTTTTTGTTTCTAGAGAAATGCATATCAATTTTTAGAATTATCATCAATTTCTTATGACATGTTTTCGAATTATCATCAATACCTTATGACATGTTATTATAGGAATAAACTAAAATATGAGAATCATATCACCTTAATTTTAATCAACCTATAATTTGATATTTATACCCACCCAATAAAACTCATACCACTTATTTTGTTTCCAAATTTTTCAAAAACAATTCCATCCATACCAAATAAAATTTATATCATTTGAATTCGAACATTTCGTACTAAAATAGAATTGCCAACTTTATACCACAAAATTAAATATTTCTTACAAAAAAACTGACCATCAAATATCTAAAATGAAATTGCTCACTTTATACCAAAATAAGATTTATTATTTTTGCCGACTTTATATCATAAATTGATTAATTAATGTAGCGAAGTTGAATTTTTTATAAAATTTCTTGCTACTAATATAATCAATATGCAAATATATAAGGCAACGGAAAGAGCATATAAGGGGCTTCAATTCGAGAAGGTGTCTTTTTTTTTTTTTTTCTTTTCAAGAGTCAAATAATTCATCTAATTAGCTAAAAAAAACCCACAACAGAAACCCCTTACACATAACACAGCCAAATGTTATAAATCTCCTGAAAACATCCCTTAAATCAAAACAATACTCAGACATTTCATAGTAACTCGTCTAATATTTGATGTCCTCACTCATCATCATCATCGTCCTCATCATCATTTCCACAGCATTGAGAGCATTCAACCTCTCGATCCGCTTGGCCGACTCTCTTCGTATGCCAATTTCTTCAGGTTGAATCTTTTGTGCTCTTTAAGAGGTTGCGTTTGAGATTTCGTTTCTGTGGGGTCATCACGAATGGCTGCATGTACCTTCTTGAACAAAGCCTTTATGTTATTTGCTTCAACACCCTTCTTGATATACTGGCTAAACACTGACTGGTACATAGGCAGCCAAACGAACATGGTCACTGGTGATGCAAAAGTTATTATGCACATGTGGCATGAATTGAATCCCTTAAAGATCCTCCAAGATCTACAGGCACAAGAGGGATAAAGGAGTACAATACATCTGTTATCAATGGTCGGTAGCTTGGCTCCGGTTGTACACAGAGCACGGCTATTGCAACCACCTTCAACAAAGAATAAAATAAACATATGTAAAAATAACAATACCAACTTAAAATATATGTCAAATATTAGAGGTTAACAACAAAAACAAATATTAACAGTAGATAAAAATTATTCTACTATTTGATAAGTTGCATAGTAGATTTAATTAGGATAACTGATGCTTTAGGTAAACAAACTTGATATAAATGCTTCAAGTCCATAGTATTCCTTAAGGCTTTAGGAAAACAAACTTGATATAAATGCTTCAAGTCCATAGTATTCTTTAAGGCTGGATCAATAATATTCGGGAGCTTTGATATGTCTGTATGTTGGGGCATAGCCTGTCATCGAAAAGTAGGTTAGATTATGATATTAGGAATGAGAAAAATGACGCAAAAAATATCGACATTAACATAAAATAATTGGGTATGCTTACCCATGTAACTATGGATTGGCACTGAGCTTTAGCTACCCTGCCAACCGCCCTTCTTGCCATTAAAAGCTCCAAAAGAATCACACCAAAAGCATACATGTCACTTTTGTCTGTAAGCTTGCCTAATTGATCCCTGCAATAAATTGTCAAGAGCTTCCATTTCAATAACACCAGAAATGAAGTTATTTCACCCATAAGAAAATAGACATAACATGTATTTTAAGAACCTTACTCTTAGGGGACTTTCTTCAGAATTTTCCAAAGTGTATATAGTGGAGACAAAAGCAATACTCCAATACAAATTTTTGTATTTTATCTATTCATAACCGACAAAGACATTATTCAAGCAACACCTTCTTAACTGTCAAGAAATCAAAAAGTCACTAATGGTTGACCAACCTAATTACAGTGGACGGAAAAGTAAATGGTAAGCCTTTGAGTTCATCACATTTGAAAGTCAGGATTGGTTGGGAGGTCTTGGGATTCCACACTGGACACTGCATAAAGTACTTCGAAAAATCATAAACAAAGAAGGCACATCAATCACCATAAATTATTAAAAAGATCAACAACACTTACCAAATTGTTTAGTATCAGAGGGCAAGTAATGGCAGGATCAATATTACCAACAACGATCACAGTAAAAGTTGATGGATCCTTAAAGCAAGTGTTAAAATACTAACAAGCTCTAAAGGGATCAATTTTCCGTATGTCACTAATTTTCATAGGCTTAAGGAAAAATACTCATATTACTATCAAAATATTTAAAAAAATAAATAGCAAAGGTTAGATAAATTACCCGAAAGAAATAGGATTTCCATAGTTGATCTTCCTCACGGTTAACAAATTCGTATAAGGATCTCTCTCTTGAGCACGAATAGACTCCTATGACATTTGCATAACTATTTTCACGTCTTTTTCTCCAGGTTGTAGATTCTCCACAAAGAGTTGAGAGACGAACTGGCGGGGAATAACATAAATATAAAAGATAGAAATTAGTTGGATATGCATGATAATAAGGATTGATAAACTTAAATGGCATACATGATCAGAGGCAGATATACATATATTTCTAATCCATGCCGGTTAAAAGGTCTCAAACTGTAATTTACAGAAGAAGCAACTAAAACCTTGACTGCAAATCGAAATGAAAGTTTGAAGTAAACTTGAATTAAAAATTAAAGGAGTCAGGAGATACTAAAACAAAAGATTTGACTGGTAATATTGAAGTCTCAAGAACTCCATTAATTAAGCTCTGATAACATTGTAAGCTAATCCTCAACTCCCTCAAAACCACTTCAAAGCAAACAAATAAATATAAAAAAAGGGTTATACAAAACCAAGAAAAAAGGGTTTCATAACACCAAAATCCAAAATTAAGGTGACCTGAATATGATAGAGGCCATGACGGATTCTCCAGTTTCACCATGAACCATGGAGCGCCTTTTTCGCACCGAAACTCTTCAGCCATTTTATGCTTAAGCCCATCCTTATTACATCCTGCACGAACGATATCAAAATTATTTGTTCACCATATCCACAAGAACCACAGATACACGCACAGTCAAAATGCGTAAAATTAGGGCATATGAAGAGAAAAAAACAAATTTTTACCTAGAATACAATGATACAACCGAACATCCCACACGTCACAGCCTCCAGGATGGACCTCCGGCTGCAGTGGGTCACCAATCCTGCCACCGCCCCGTGTTCCAGCACCACTGTGAGGCCAACGACTTTGTCACGTAACCCCTGCTCTTAGTCCTCTCCATAAACCCCTCCAGCAGAAGTCTCTAGATAAAAAACATAAATTATTTCTCAACCCAATTAAAAATGGAGGCAAGAATAAAAATCCATCAACTACACCAACCAATTGCCAATTGCAATTTGCACACCAGAGCAAAAAAAATATTAAAAACCAATAAATTTACCTTGATGAACCGGCGCACTTCATCATCTGTCATCCAAGTTGACCCTACCGTCGCCTCCTAAATAGACCCTGACGATCATAATCCGATACTCCTCTGGCATCTTCACCTACTTCAGCCTCAACGCCGCCGTTAAGAAATCAGCTCATCCGCCGTGATGAACTCGCCCCGTCCCAAACGAAAGTTCTAAACGCCTCCCGCACGTCTTCTTCACCGTTTTCCCCCTTGTCACATCTTTCGTCTGCCATCACCACCGCGTACAGGGCGCCGAACTCCTCGGCATCCACCTGGGCGTCCCCGTCGGTGTCAATCTTCCCGATCATTGATCGTAGCTTCTGCTTCGGCACGCACACCTCGAGATTTTCTAGCAAATCACTGAGCTCCTCTCGACTGATGTTGTAGTCGCAGTTCATCGAGCATGGAGAAGTCTCAATAGTGTTCCGCCGTGCCCATCTCCGTGGAACCCTAATTGTTGGTTTGGATTTGATTTTGATTGGGATTTGATTTTCACCCGTCATTTTAGGAGAGATGACAAGAATTAGTTTGATTTGGTTAGAGCATCCACAATGTTTTGGGTCTCTTTTTGCATATGTGGCAAATAAATAGACTTAAGTCCATAATGACATGGACAAACCTAAACTAAAAAAACCAAAATCTATCCAATGCAAAACAAAAAAGTACTAGGTCTAGAATACATGACAACCAATAAAAACGCTCTAGTATATTTCATTTATTAAAAGAAAAATTAAATGAGGAATAAATGATGAGTGCTTGGGTTTGTACTTGGGTCTAAAATAGACCCAAGTGTGGACTAGGTCTCATTTTTTTATTGCCACATAAGCTAGACTAGGTCCACTTTTAATTGCATTGGAGAACACTTTTTTATAGACTAGGTCTATTTCTTACATGGCATGTAACTTTTTTCTAAGAAACCCAAAGCATTGTGGGTGCTCTTATGTCCGTTCAAGTTTCCATTTGCACGTCCATTTAAATGTGATTTGATATACTAAAAAGTTCATTTGATATGCTAAAACAAATTTTGATCTGTCCATTTAAGATTTGATTCGATATACCAAATAAATATGTTTTTTTTTCATACTATTAAAATTTATATTTTTGGATGAAAATTTTCAAAATATGTTTGAGCGGTATTTTCAATTTTTTTTTGAAAATAATTACTTAATTTAGTAAATCTAACAATTTTAGGCGGGATATCTACTTCTATTTTAGGTAAATACCATACCTTTTTATATTTATATAGATATAGATTTTTCTTAATTATATATGCATTATTTTTCATCACTCTTTTTGTACAACTAGTGTGTATCCCGTGCGATGCACGGACGGGCTTTTTACTTAAAACCTTTTCTAAGACTTTATATTAAACATAGTTATTTATGTTTAACATCTCATTATTGTAAGAAAAGAAATACCAAATATGAAAAATTATATATTATTTATTTGAATATAATGGGTATCCACAACTAAACTAATAACATCAAACATTAGATATATGATAAAATTAATTATATGATTGTCATACTTTTTAGAAAAAAAATCATCAATTAAGTTGAACTACCTGAATATAAAAAATAATTTATGATATCATTGACCATATTTACCTGTTGTATTTAAAGATATCATTGACCATATTTTTATGACTTAAGGTTTACAAAATATCTTTTTCATAATAACAATTTTTATTTTTAATTTGAATTTGACTTTTCATCCAGCCGCTATTTTCCACAAAAAAAAAAAAAAAA